TTTTTGCTATTTACAAAAAATGGCTCAGCTGATCGTCGCACAAAACTGAGAAAAGATAATCCACATCAAAATACATCGATTGGCTTTTAAATTTTTGAAATCGGTCTAGCCGTTTTTGAGAAAACGTCGATTTACGGTGAAAAATCTGTTCACACATATACTTTTTTCAAATTTAGTCTCATTCGATTCAGAATGGCTTGAAACGTCGAGAAAACATAAAATTAACGATTCGAATTTTTTGATGAAAAACAAGCTTTTCCTTGGGGAAGATAATAATAATGAATTTTAATTTTGGTTTTATTTTTTAGGTGGCAAAACACAACACGTTCAAGATAAATTACGTCAAGAAATTCTGGATGTTTTGAAGAAACACGATGGTCAAGTTACATATGAAGCCATAATGGAGATGCAATATCTAGAACAAGTTCTTTATGGTGAGCATAAAATAAATATTCAACTGTTGCCGAATTTTAAAAATTATAATCTGGTTACAAATTTTCTGAAGAAATTAATTAATTTTTCATAATTTTGATAATTGGTTACATACATGTTAATAAAAAAAAAATCTGATCTATTTGACAATATTCAACAAATAATACATTGGTGACTAGCAAGGATCTTCTCTTTCAAATAAATACTTGCTTTGTAAAATTAGAAAGAAAAAAACTCTTGGGCTTTTAGACAATATCTTTTAAAAAATCAAGTTTGTTTTAATTTTTCTAGAAATATGAGACTATATCCTCCCGGTATGATTCTCCAGAAAAGATGTACCCAAGATTGTACAATACCTGGTAAATCATTAGGAGCTGAAGACATCACACTCCGGAAGGAGATGCTGTAGTGATACCATTGTATTCAATTCAACGGTAATTAATTTTACTTAATTTTTAGTCAATTATATCCTTTTTAATATAAATTTGTATGTAGTGATCCAGAATACTATCCAGATCCTGAAAAGTTTGACCCGGAACGATTTAGTGATGAAGAAAAGGCATCCAGGCATTCATACGCCTTCTTAACTTTTGGTGCAGGACCAAGAATGTGTTTAGGTAAATATATTTATTTCAAATTAAATCGATTATTAATTAAATCAAATTGTGTTAAATCTAAAGAAAATTATTTTCTCGGTATACACAAATTTGTTCTGGCAAATAAATGTTAACAGATAAACTACTATAATTTTCAATACATAAGATTAATTATGGATCTATTAAAATGAGTTATTTTCTTTTTAGGAATGAGATTTGCACTTCTGCAAATGAAGGTGGCATTGATGTCTGCTGTTAAAAGCTTCGAATTATCTGTTAATCCAAAAACAAAGGAACCATTAGAATTAGATAATAAGTCATTTATCATAAGAGTGAAAGATGGTATGTGGGTAGACTTCAAAAAATTGTAAAAAATCCCATATATAATATTATAAATGTACACTAATGAACCAATAGAAGTATTTACTACATTTTTGTTTATTTTGTTTGAAGAGGAGTTTGTGTTGAAAAAGAACTACCCCAAGTTTCACAGGAATTGTAGATAACTTCTAGAAATATTTATGTACATATGTATATATATATAAATATATATGTTTGTGTATTTTTTTGTATAGTGAAGAAAATACGTTTACAATTACCAAAGTAGGTCTTTTGTCTGGGTATGTCGGGCTCAATACTGCCTGGGTATAAAACCGACTAAAACCTTAGCTAATCTCTTACCCCTTGTCTCCACGGAAAACGTCATTAGACATTACTTTATGGGGGGAGGCTCTAGAATTTTATAATTCCCACACGTCACAATCAAACTTTCGTCCTGATAGTGTGTTGAAAAACATTGAAGTTTTTTATAGAAGGTATAGATATTATAGGCATCACAAATAGAACCTTTCTCACATCAAAGATAAATGTACAGAAGCTACAAACGATGCAGAAAATATAATTCTACTGATAACTCATAACAATTGTTAGATACATCAGAAAACATTGAAGTTTTTTGTAGGAAGTATAGGGATTTATAGCAATCCCAAATAGAGATTTTCCCACATCAAAGACTATTTGTACATAATCAACAAATGATACAAAAAAAATAATTCGACTGATAATACACCAGAAAGTAGTGACATACGTAAGGAAATAGAGAATATAGCAAAATAGCAATTCAAAGTAGAGATTTTCGGTAAACACGAATTTGGTACAGCTAATATTTTATGCATGTCTATATTTTACAAACACTAGATATCTGATATTTGTATTGTGATTAGATTATATATTAAAATACTTGAAAACACTATTACTTGAAACTTTATTATGCTTTTTGAGACTTAGAAAGTGAGCCGTATTATGGTTAGTCTCAAATGTAATTAGGAATTATTGTTTATAATATTAATTATAAGATCAGGATACGAAATTAGAATTTAGACTACACCAGCTGGTCAACAAACATTCTGTAATCGTTTATGTAATAAATTTCGCGATAGTGATTATTATTAACCTTGTATTCGCATTTATTTCAATGAGGAGGACATATCAAAGGCGTGCGATTTGCTCTTCAGTTAAACTAATAGCGTGCTTCTGATGCATCATATGTACATATTTATTTATATTATTGTTACATCAGATGAAACAGACTCGTCGCCCTGTTTACATGTGTTAATAAAAATATTGTAAAATAGTTAAAGTGAATAAAAAATTGTGTTACTTGGATTTTATTATAGTTGGATAAATAGCTCACAGTAAGTGGAATTTTATTTTACCATATGGCTTATTATTTAAACTTGCTCCTTGTGACGTTGATAATAGGTATATTATTACAATAATTAGCCAGTTCAAATATTCGATAATTAATTTTTTTATAAATATTGCTTATAATAAATATTTACAGAATTTGACAACAATCGGTAAAAAGTAAATAGCATTTATATATTATCATCACAAATAAACGATTTTCATATCAAATACTAAAGTAATTATAAATACAGTGGAATCCGCTTAGTATGACATCGAAGGGACACCGAAATCTCGTCATACTAACCGGTCGTCATACAAAGCACACTGAAGAAAAACTATTGTAATATGTAAATATGTTACATGTTTCAGTAACTTAAAAGAAAAGCCTATACATACATTTTAATTGAAAATAAAAATGACATATTAAAATTTAATATAAAATAAAATTGACATAGGGCAGTGCGGGGCACAAAGGTCCAATTTGATTTTCAGTAATTATACTGTCTAAACTCAATGAACAACCTTGGAACATATAACACACATCAAACAAGCATCTATCAAACTATGTTCAGAAAAAAATTCACATAGTTCCTAATTATATAAATATTATTTTTTTTACTATTTTTTTTGAAATTTGGTATCTGACCCTTTTTATCCCATATACGGTAAAGTGGGACAACCAGGGGGCAAACAGATGCAATTTCTTCTATTAAATTTTAAAGGGATTTTATGCTACATTATTGAACCAATGCAAAATATTAATTTTATGGGTACATTTGTTACAAAAATAACACAGTATATTACATTGACCTGCTATTGGTCAAAAATATTCATCAGAAGATCATATAATTTAGGTCATAAAAGTCATATTGTGAATTGCAGTAAATCTCACAGAGCTTCTGGGTATATAAGCTTCTTTCAACAAACTTTGTCGAAAAAATCATATGAATTTCAAGCCATAAGTTTTTTTGTATTGAATTCATTGTAATCACATTTACAATAAATTATTTTAAGTTACTTTTGAATTGCATTTTTGTTAAAATTGTTCATTCAGAATATCGATTAAAAAATCGAATATGATATTTAAATATTTGGAGAAAGGACGGTTCGAATCCCAATTTTACTCTTCTTCATTGGACAGAACAACTATGAACAATAATATAAAAAAATGAAATTTATCATACAAAAATAAAAAAAAAGTATAGTGGAACTGTAGTTAAGTTTTACTTTATAATATGTTTGCTGATTATTAGTTTATAATAAGTTCAAAAATTTGTTCATATTATTAATTATTTGTTGTGGTTTTATCCGCTGAAAAAGAGTCAGAATGAGATAAGAAACGTATGGATATACATTACATTTCTTTCTAATTTTTTTATCTAGAAAGATGCCTGTTAAAAAAGTAATTAAACATATTTATCACCATCTAAAAAAATGTTACATGTGCATACATACATATAGTCTTTTACAGAATTTTTGAATGCCATATGATTTTTTCTTTCTAAAACTCATTTAAAAAGATCTACATAAATCAGATAATAATTGTTCATTATGAAAGCACAAAATTTAAATTTTTCGTTTTTTATAAATTACGTCATCCATATGTCTCGTGATTATTTTGACATTGCTAAAACACAAAGCAAAAATTGCCATGTCTCTACATATTAAAAAGCAGATGAGATTTTTGCCGACACTATACTTTTAAATTTTTATAAATTATCTAACAATAAGTTTTCAATATTTTTCAAATATTAGATGTTTTTCGTGCTAATCGCGACAGCCTTGGCGCTGTTTCTGGGGTACATATGGCACCTTGGAGGTCACTGGGCCAGAAGGAAAGTACCAGCACCAGAACCTAGTGAATTTTTGGAAGACTTTGGAAAAATATTACTCTAGCAGAGCATTTCGGACTTTTAGTGCACGAAGCGTACAAGTAAAATAATATTTTATTAAAAATAATATTATCATCATTATTAATATTATGAAGACAATTATAAATAATTGGTCTGGCGGGGAAGGTCAGATTTATTTTGTAATATCAATAGCATATGTATGCAGCTGTCGATTTATAATTATGATTAATTCATTCTAAATTTTAATACTTAATTTAAGTTTTATATACGAGTTATTGCAGTAGGCATGATGATATAGATTCTGCGCCGCACAAAATGACATAATATTATGAGTAAGCAATTTGCAAGGTAAACAATTTAATTTATGCATACTAAAAACAGTAATCTCAAGATACAAAAGTCGCCTACGGAATCAATAATGAGCATTGTTTATTCAACAATTCAATGGTATAGTAGACAATGATCATTCTTGCAAATTTGTAGATAAAGCAAACAACATCCGATATATCCAGTAATGTTTTATGAACAGAGCATTTTACATTAAATATTTCTTTATATCTAAAAAAGAACTAGTGGTGTATGGCATCGTGCCTTAAGGCAAATTGCTGAAACTTCCCGTACCAACAATTACAATTTTTTAAAAAAACCTTTAAATTTTTTGGAAAACTTTGAAAAAAATTGAGTTTTGAGAATTTTGAAATTTTCAAATTTATTTGACTTTTTTAGAAAATTGGAATTTTCTTTTATATTTTGAAATTTTTCAATACTTTGAATTTTTCTGAAAATTTTGAACTATTTTTCAAAGCAATCGTGCTGCGTGGCTGTTTTAGACGTTTAGACTAGTTTTAGAAGCGCATAAGCGCCGCATCGCAGTCTAACGGATAAACATTTTGTACAGAACCCATAGGAATGAGAACAAAATTCATACTCATTATTAAAATATCTGATAATTTGATGTGCATATGTCTAATGATCATTTTTGACCGCCAAACGGCATTTTTTTTACTTTTTTCGCTCGATCTCTGAATTCGCTAGCCCTGTCTTCGCAAAAAATAAAACGGTCTTCATTTTGTGAGTACAAATATAATCTTCTCTCAAAAATTTGAATTACAATTTCTGGCTCTCTTTGCCAAAAACTGATCAGCACGTCTCCTTTTTAATACGAATCGATTTGAATTATTCAAATCGGTTGATCCGTGTTCCCGAAATTGTGAACAAAAATTTGTATACGTACACACACACAGACACATACATCCATTTTTTTAAGGAATGCCAAAATGTTGAGAAACCTTTGAAACGTAAAATTATATAAACATATTCATTTTACATTTTTTTGCGACTACTATAACTTACTCTATGGAAAATCAAATATATCACAAGCAAACACTTAATTCTTTTTTGAAAAGATATAAACTCTCCTTTGGTTATTAGAAAATTAAATAGATGCGCCATCAAAAACTGAATTCAAAGCGAAAATATGTACAAAATTTGTAAATTATTTTGATAATTATAAAAGTTATATTGTATTATATGTACTAGATAAGCTAGCTAGATAAAGCTAGCTAAATCGATATTTCTGGTTAATCAATTATAACAAAATGACGTTAAACAAGAAGCAAAAAAAAATTATAAACGCTGAAAGTTTTCGCTTTTTTTGCTGTAAACAATGTTTTATAATTAATTGATAATATTACTAGTATTAAAGTAGTATGAAAACTGGCATAAGTATTTAATTTTATTGAGTCTCCCATATAATGTTATATTTTTTTAGGCGTTTTCAAGATCGACCCTACTTTGGAACCTTTTCGTGTTTCAAACCCTTATTTGTGGTCAAAGATTTGGATTTAGTAAAGACAGTTTTACAAACTGAATTCAACAGTTTCCAAAAGAATGATTTTGATTTAAACGAAGAATTGGAGCCAATTTTTGCTACTAATCCTTTTACTCAAACTGGGCAAAGATGGAAACGTTCCAGAACGCAAATCACGCCCGCTTTCACTTCAGGAAGAGTAAGTAAAAAATATTTATATAGAAATCGATGTAATAATAATAAATATATTAGATGAGTAATTATACATCTTAATTTATATAATTTTAATCCAGATGAAAGCAATGTATCCATTGATGTTAGAAGTCGGAGAGAAGATGAATAAATATTTGGAAAAAAATGAAAAACTTCCAGATGGAATTGATGTGAAAGAAGTGAGTTTGTTTTAAACTTTGTTGTATAATTGAATAATGACTTTATTAAAATACATTTTAGCTTAATGAAAAGTTTGCTATGGACAATGTGGCAAGTTGTGCTTTTGGAATTGACGTAGAATCTTTTCAAGACCAAGATTCTGATTTTATCCGAGCAGCGAAAAAGATTTTCGAGCCTTCATTCTCAAACATGATTAAATTTCTATTAACATTCATGGCGCCTACAATAACTAAAATTCTTAAATTTCGGTAAGAAAATATAATTGACTTACTTTTTGTAATAAAATAGTAATATTTTATACAGAACTAGCTGGTATTGGTATTTTGCCTTGAGGCAAGTTACATGAACTTCCCGATTTGTGTAAATAATCGACTTAATCAACAAAAAATAAATTAATTTATGAGTGATGAAAAGTATTCCGAGTGGATTTATTACACATAATTAAAAACGAACGAACACGGTAACTCGGAGTATTTTTTAAAAGCAAATTTTCAAAAATCAAATATTTTTTATAATTGAACCAGTTTCTGCAGGACTTTAATGGTTTAGTATGTTCAAGACCGAGTACTCTATCATTATACCAACTAAATCATCTAATTTTAATTTTAACAAATGTCAAAAAAACTACTCACTTTATCGAACTTTTTTTTAAAATTAAACTACTTGTCGTAAGAAAGTAAGCCGTAATATTTCAGTGCGTGCTATAAGACCATGATATATATCGCCAAAAAAAGTTCCATATAAATTGGCTTAAATTTTGTTTCAACAGTTAATTACAAGAAAACGGCTCGGTAGATTTTCACCTAAAACTGATCAGTATCATTCCCAACTAATATCTTTTGATTAGTTTTTGACTTTTTGAAATCGATTCGGTAGTATGAGCTTAAATGTGGACAAAAAAATTTAACACATTTTTTCAAATAACTGACAAACGACAGTCCTCATCGAGTTACATCGACCGGCTTTTGAATTTTTGAAATCGATCTAGCCTTAAATAGATCTAACCTTAAATCGATCTAACCTTATATCTATAAATATTTAAGGTAAAAAATCTGTTCACATACGCACACACATACTTTTTCCAAATTTGGTCTCATCCGATTCAGAATGGCTTGAAACGTCCCTTTCAAGAAGTTAAAAATTGCCAAACAATAAATCGAAATCATCTATATTTGCCACAATAATTTGGGTCTACTGCCTTAGAGCAGGTCCATGAGCTGAGTTAAACTCCAACACGATTCAGAGAAGAATGATGTGATAGATTTCCCATTGCCATTTCACACCGCATTGCCATATTTTCAATTCGAAACATATTTTTAATCTTATATTCTTAATTGAAAATAGATATCACTACTGCCTGATATCAGATTATCCAGAATAATAGTAAATCACCACCGTATCCACACACAAAATATAGCGTAAATATATAACACAAGGCAGTGTATACTATCCTATTACTATACTTTATTTATTTTTAGTATAATGCCTCCAGAAACAGCAAATTTCATGAGTCAAATAGTAAATCAAAACATCAAATACCGAGAGGAGCACAACATTACTAGAGATGATTTCTTACAAGGAATGTTGAACTCAAGAAGCAAAACCCAAGGCGAATTTCCACGTATGTATATAATATTTATAATATCTATTATTAACTGACAAATGTACATATCAAAATATATTATATTTCAGCTTTGACCAATAAGGAAATGACTGGACATGCAGTATCTTTTCTCACAGATGGTTATGAAACCTCCAGCGGTGTTATGGCATTCACGTTTTTTGTGGTATGAAAATGTAATAAATAAACTCTTTTCGATTAGTGATTTTATACATTCTCACTAAACCAAAGTCGGTAATATTGACGTAATTTTAACGTAAAGAAGTTGCACTTGTATGAAACTTTTACGTAATAATATTAGTTTAAGAAATATGTAACAATTTCGTAACATAGATTACGGTAATGTTTCGCAAATATTTTGTAATATTAACAAATTGTACAGGTAGCCAAGTATAAGGATATCCAAAACAAATTGCGTGAAGAAATTGAAGAAGTTTTGAACAAACATGATGGACAAATGACTTATGAAGCTATTATGGAAATGTCGTATCTTGAGAAAATTATTTATGGTAATACTCTATGGTAATAATAATTAAAGGTCAATCTCCAATGATTAAAATGATCCTTTACATTTTACTGTTAAGATTGGAGTGTGCTAGAGCAAATTAGTCACGGTTAGCTCGATATCAGACAGCATGATATCGAGATACACTGCTGTGTTGCCTTCCAAAAACAAGCCATACAAAGATTACTGAATGTCCTCATAATATCAGACTGTAATACATATAAAATATATGTAAAATACTAGAATTACTTATCTATAAAAATTTTATAATTAAACACTGTTACAACTTTTACAGTCTACTACTTCGACAAAGTCAAAATCTTTTTAATTAAATAGTTTATAATCCAGAACGATATTTGTGTAATATTTTCAATGAAAGTAAAATGAATGAATTTCCACTAGCAATGTTATTCTTGTTATGAACAGAGGATATATAATTATATCAAAAAAGCCTCACATCTAATTTTTATTAACTAGAGACCATGAGAATGTACCCTCCGGCTTTGATGCTACAGAAAAGATGCACTCAAGAATGCACTTTGCCTGGTAAATCATCCGAAGACATTACCTTGCATCCAGGAGATGCTGTTGTAATTCCTGTCTATTCTATTCATCAGTAAGTAACTTTATATCATATTCATGTATAAAATTCGAATCATATTTATATTGATGATTATTCATTAATGATTATTTTCATATAATGTTATCTTATTAAGTAGTATTTTTGCATCCACAGTGATCCAGAATTTTATTCAGATCCAGAAAAATTTGACCCTGAAAGATTCAGTGAAGAAGAGAAAACATCGAGGCATTCATATGCATTTTTAGGATTTGGTGCAGGTCCAAGGACCTGTTTAGGTAATACATATCATTTCATTATTACTAACAAAGAATTTTTGCTAATATTGCATTATCAATAAAAACTCAATTTTTTTCTCATTCAGGAATGCGTTTCGCTCTTTTGCAAATGAAAGTTGCATTGATGTCTGCTGTTAAAAACTTTGAATTATCTGTAAATTCAAAAACAAAGAGCCACTAGTGTTCGACAGCAAGTCGTTTACTTTGAGAGCCAAGGGTGGTTTATGGATAGATTTCAAAAAGCTGTGATATGATATAAATACTCATAATATTAATGTGAATGCATCTCTGCATTTTTGTTTATATAGTGTTTTCTTTGAAATTAATTTTAATTATTTTTGCTATGTGATTATGATATTTACTAACTATATTAATATTTGTTTATCATTAAAAATTATTGTACATCTTGACTCCATGTGTATTTTGTTATTTAATATTGAATATATTATGTTTGTAATAAATCAGAATTCAAAATTACTTAAACAATGTTTTAATAACTAACAAGTCCACTCAATAAATCTAGTTCGAATGTAATGAAAAAACAGTAGTATGTCTGAACAAATTGCACATGAACTAAATCTTAGTTCTTTAAAGCATTATCCATCTATTATTCATTGACTATAATAGCTACCTTAATACGACTTCAGTATTTTTCAACTCGCTTTGTAAGAAAAATGCTTTCAACTTACTTTGATCAATCCTGCTCGAGGTGGGGAACGTTTGGAAATCATTTCTAACTACTTCTCACTTTTGCTTTCATGTGTTTATTTGATATTTTGCAATAGCCCAAGTAAATGCTTTACACACTTTTTATATTAAATATCTTCATTCATTACATATAAATTGATAAAAGACAGATATTCTGTAGAAATATTAGAGCCTTTCGAAGAATATGTAGGACATATTTCACAATTGTATATATGAATATATTTCAAAGGATACATTTGTTTGTCTGTGAAAATAGCATTTGATTAAAAAATTGATTAGATTTAGACGCAGTCAAATATATATACCTGTAACAATATATAGCTGAATGTACTTTGTATAGTTTGCTATGAAAAATAGATAAAAAAAAAGATTTTAAAAAGGCCTGTAATTGATAATTATAATGAATTATCATGAAAAGCTAGGTTGTAATGATTATAGGTTAAACACTTCTTCAATATTGCAAAAGATATTTATTATCACTTGTTTTTACTACATGTAGTTTTATATATGTAAGCTAATGAATTATTAAAAAGTGAGATGAATCAATTAA